GTTTTTCTGCTTGTGCACCACTACTACCTGCCTCTTCCCCAACCTCTTGTATCTTGCAGTAAAAAAATTAGAGGGATTAGGGAAATACTGGACAGAATGATAAGAGTACAAATGCAACATTCCTTTAGCAACATACCACTGAAATATGTGCTACTTGTGCTTGTGGAGCATCATTACTTGCTTCTTTCGCAAGCTGTGTTGTAGCTTTGTTTTGTCTCTTTTTTTTAGCCTTGTGCTTCTTATCAAGCCAAGTTCTTTTTCGTTTTGAACTTTTTGTTTGGTGCGCAAATAGTTCTTGTGATCATGAAGGGTGTAACTAAGATTGAGTGGTCCACCAACTTGGTGGCTAGCCAACTCATGTGCTGCTTTTGGTCCAATTCCCGCATCATCTGCCGTTTCAATTTCAAATGCTTGTAAATAAGAAATTTTCCTATGTGTCCAATAAGTGAAAGGTTTTTGGTAGGTGCAGTTTGTGATTGTGTTCCAAAATGACATCAGATACTTTATAATGTCCCTCCTTTCGATCTAATTTAAGAGTCATGCGGACTTAACAATCCGTTCTAGTTTCAGCTCGAGGGCATTTAGTTAAATGATCACTTTTGTCCTGCAGCCTATGACCCTCATTTGCACAAACAAATCTACTTGATGTAACCATGCCATCAGAATGTCTTTTGTTTGTATACCTTTTTCTAACCTCAAAACCTTTTTGTCCACCGTAGCTAAGCCAAAATACCCAAGCCTCATTCCAAGTTCGAAACTCCATGCCAACATGAGGTGCCAAGCCAGGTAGTATATCTCTGCAACAAAAAAGAATAACATGAGAAGGGCCTGTGGAAGTACAGAGAAAAAATTATGAAATAGATTAGCACTACCAGGGTAAAATACTTATGATGTCACATAAGAAATGATAAAGTGGGGTTGTGCTGCTTATATACGTATTGGAATCATGATGCAATCTGTTAGTTTGTTCTTCCATCGTGCTTCTTACATGACAACAGGAGAAGCAAAAACTAAGTCTGCAACCTAGTGATGAAATTTCAATCAATCTCAGTGAAGCCGCTGTAAAGAGGAACGACGAGAGAGAAGGGAGTAAGATTACTCACCTGCACACAATTGAAGTGCAGAGGAGATGCAAGAGGAGAAGCTCGGTCGTCTGGCGATCGTAAGCGTCGTCTTTGACGCCTTCTCTCATCAGACTCCCGCCGTTTTCTACCAGGTTCGTGCCTTTTCCGTCCATCCGGCGCTGTTATTGGGCTCCTTCTTTCCCTCCTCTGTTTGCTTTTTCTCCGTGCCGCAGGATGTGGAATGGATGGCATCGGAGGTCCTACGTCCTCTGCAGTAGAAAGAGCCAAGTTAGAGGATCTCGTTTCCCACAGACACGGCCCCTTGAAATGATTGCTTGTGCCGGTAGAAAAATCATAAATTAAAATTGGGCCACGGGGTAGCACTGATTCGTCTTCGGCTTCGTCAGATCTTCCATTAGTGGCAGTATGCCCTTGTTTAGTTGAGGGGAAAGCTAGAATTTAGCTACTGTAGCACTTTCGTTTTTATTTGGTAATTAGTGTTTAATCATGAACTAATTAAGCTTAAAACGTTCGTATCGTAATTTCTCACCAAACTGTGTAATTATTTTTTTTCATCTACATTTAATGCTCCATGCATATATCGTAAAGATTGATGTGATGAATACTGTAACACTTTTTTAAAATTTTTTTTTCAACTAAACACGGGCTATATACTACTACCGTACTCTTACGCACATGTACACGCCACGGTCCCTTCGGGTTGGGTTGTTGCTCCAAAAGCACCTGCAATAGCGAAAGAATCGTTTAGATAGATACTCGGCCTGTTCGTTTGGCTGGGCTTGTTTGTTGGAAGAAGTACTACTGGCTAATTTGGTGTGAGAGAAAAAACTGTTCCGGCTAGAAATTTACGATCGTTTACGAGGGAATAAGCCCAGCCGAACAGACTGACTAGATCCCACCCATGCAACATCTCGATTTCTACTCGAATCAAAGGATCTGTGGAAGTGGAATCCCTAGGATCAAGCAAAGGCTGACTAGATCTCACCCATGCAACATCTCGATTTCTACTCGAATCAAAGGATCTGTGGAAGTGGAATCCCTAGGATCAAGATATATAAGTACGGAATAGAATCCAACTCATCACAGAGATGTGGCATTAACGAGCGAGGGTCGTCAGCTCTCGCTGCAGTCCGATCCGTGCACCCACCGGTACACCACCCCATTGCCCACGCCGTCCCGTCAGTTTCCACAGGAAACGCACAAGACCTGACGCATCGACGGGGACGGGTCCTGGTTCGCGCACACGTGATCGTGCCCAGCTCTGGACGGCCTCCATTTCTGGTTTCCCTCTTGGCGCTCTTTCTGAGGACCCCAGAACCAGAAAAAGGCCCGGCCCGGCCGGTAGGCCGTAGCTCTGGAAATATGGAATAGGCCGTAGCTCGTCACGAGCAGATCAACAGAGCATTGTCAAGTGTAAACCCAGCGTGCAAACGTAGGCCTCGCAATAGATGCGAGCATGCACGCGCTGTGCGCCGCACCGGGTGCTTTCCGGCGCCATTTGCGATGGATGCCTGCCCGGCGGATGTGTCCGCCCATGGCGCGCGACCATCTTTTGCAGGCCGCGGAAACATCATGTCACGCTCGGCAAATGATGAAACAATGCAATGCAATGCTCCTCCCAGAAAGTAAAAAAGAAAATGGTGTGAGGAACTTGAGAATCCGCGCTGCTAACCACACGCTGTGAAAGCCATGGCCTGCTGTTGCCATGCGGTCATGCAGATGACCAGAGCGGGAGGCATCCGGCCGTGCCACGTTCTCGGCCGCTAGCTAGCATGGGATATGAATAGAGGATAGGGTCATATACTCATATTCACAGGAATACCGTAGAATAGATGCGCGTCGTGTGCATGCAGCTAGCTAGCAGCATCGTGCGAGAAAATGTCGTCACTGACGTTAATCTTGCGTAGGCTGGTCCCGCCAAAATCTAGCGAGGGGGGTTATCTCTAGGCAATTTTAGACCTGTTGAGAACAGTGTCTATTCTTTGCACCTCTGCTAACCTGGTCTGAAATTCCTGAAACGCATACGGAGCCACGTAGGTTTGGGTAGCTAGCTAGCACATGCACATGGAGTAAAACTGTATTTATTTGGTACTGGCGCTGTAGAGTGTAGAGTAGTACAGTAGTAAAAGCGAATTTGGAGCGCATACATAACATACATGATACGTGTGGAGATACGGCCAAGAATCCCGCACATTGCGAGCCAGAGAGCGCGAGATTGATGCCGTATTCCATCGGGGTTTTGGAGCTAACAATACCAACGAAACCTGCCGTATTCCCTCGGCGGGCACCGATCGAAAAACATCCGTACGCATGTGAAATTGGTAATCTACCCTCAAACACACGAATCACATTATACTCTACTGTACTACCAGCGCCAGAGATTCTGTGATCTCTCCCTCGTTCTACTAAATTTTACTGCGTCAGCTGCAGTAAATACTAAATTGTAAAATAAATCAAGCCAGCACTGAGAAACCACAGCTCATGGGTCAATTCAAAATGCAAATAGTACGATATATGCCAGAACGGCAAGTACTGCTTGCACCTGCCTTTCTTCCGCTTAGGGGCCGTTCCGTTGTGAGGGAATGCATCTCTGGAACCATTCCAATGTTGTGTTAATTTGAACTATCTTTTATCACCCAATGTTGTGTTAATTTGAACTATCTTTTATCACCTGGAATGATTCCCGGTGGAATCAAGGGCAAACGAACGAGCTTTTAATTTACCCATGCTTTCTCTGCTGATACTATACCTCCTCATTCTCGGTAAATATACGATTTTGATTAAATAATCTATAGCTTAACTAAGTTTATAAAAATATATTAATATATCTCATTAGTACTAAATAAATATTACTAGATTTGTCATAAAATGTATTTTCTTAGTAAATCTTTTTACAGTTATACATTTTGGTACTATATCAAATAAATTCAATCAAACTTAAGATGGTTTGATTTTGACTAGACCTAAAATTGCATTACTCCTTCCGTCCAAAAAATACAAATTCTAGATCCAGAACAAGTCAAACTATCTTAAATTTAACTAAATTTATAGAAAAATAGTATCAATATTTATGTTTCTAAATAGGTTTACTAAAAAATTAATATAATAATGTTTATTTGAAATTGTAATTGTTATTATTATTTATATGAATCTTAATTAAATTTAAAATTATTTGACAGCGAGAATTTCCCTGACAGTGAGTATTTTTGAGACAGAGGCAGTACCTTCTTTCAGTGCCAACCTTTTTTAAGGCCTTGTTTAGTTTTAGGTGTAAAGTTTTAGGGTGTCAGATCAGAGTGTTGCATAAGGTGTTCGAATACTAATACGAAAACAAATTACAGAATCCGTCAGTAAACCACGAGACGAATTTATTAAGCCTAATTAATTCGTCATTAGCACATATGTTAATGTAGCACTTTATTGTCAAATCATAGACTAATTATGCTTAAAAGATTCGTCTCGTAAAGTAGCTGTAATTTGTGTAATTAGTTATTATTTAATTGAATACTCTCATGCATATGTCCAAATATTTGATGGGAGAGTGTAAACTTTTGGGGAGTAAACCAGGACTTAGCTGAGGTGCATAGCATATACTGTGTCTGTATCTAGCTACGAGTACTACTATTTAATAAGGTTGCAGTGGAGCTGCTAGACCAATACGCTCGTGACCACCTCTGCTTTACGCGGCCTTGTCCTTTGCTCCACCTCGCCATCCATCATTAGCTCTCGACGACGCGCTCTCCCCTCTGCACGTAGCCATATCACAACGCACACGGTACTCGTCCTCCTCCTCCTTGCAGAGCTTGCACCAGCACGCCACCCTAGCTTGCTTTGCTCGCACTCGCACAGTTGCGAGCGCATTGCATTTGCGCAGCACGCCGCTAGCCAGTAGGCGGCCGGGAAGCTAGCTGGTAGATGGCGAGCAGCGCGGGGGACCGCTTCCTGAGGCAGCTGAGCGCGAGCAACGGCGACGAAGGGGTCTGCGGCGGCCTGCAGCTGGACCAGCAGCAGTACGGCGGCGCCGGCGCGGGGAGGAGGGGCTCCCGGAGGTGGTCGAAGAAGCGGGCCGCCGCCGCCGCGAGGGGCTACGGCGCCGGCGCCGGCGGCAGTGGGTACGGCGTGAAGCAGCAGGCTGAGGCCGCCTCTGCCGCGAGGAAGCGGGTGATGGTGGTGGTGGACGATACCTCGGGCGCCAAGCACGCCATGATGTGGGCGCTCACCCACGTCGCCAACAAGGGGGACTTCCTCACGCTGCTCCACGTCCTGCCGCACTCCGGCAGCGGCAGGGGCGAGGAGGCCTCCTCCCTCGCCAACTCGCTCGGCACGCTCTGCAAGGCCTCCAGACCAGAGGTGCGCATCTGCAGCACATGCATTTGCATTTGCTGATTAGTGGAAGCTTAGTTATAATTAGCTAGTACTCGTTACTCGTAAGCAGTGCACATTTGAACCAACTTTGGTTACAGCTAGCCTTCTTTTGGTAGCATATGCTTGGAACCATGCACAAGAGAATTACTAGTAGTTAATTAACTAGTGAAAAAATTACACCAACAAGAGAATAAGTAGGAGTTAATTAAAAACAATGACACCAACAAAAAAAGGATCAATAATACTATGTGTACTTCATGGGTTCATGACAGTTCTTGTTGAAGAAAAAGGGATTCTGGGTTGTTAGGTAATCTGGAGAAGTCACTCATCACTTGAGGCCTTAAGATTGCCTTTTTAGACTTGTAACCAGTTGGGGAGATCATAGATGAGATCAGAATCCACTTTTTTGTCTGCATGGATCAGGATCTAGATCCCAGACAGACCAAAAGGGCACCATATATATCAATCAACCTGGGTCTCCATTTCTACTACTACAAAGGAAGTAAGCAACAGACTGTGGGGCTCTTCATTTCCTCCCTGGTCCCCTAAAATCTGAAATCATAAACCCTGGTATTATGAAATGCAATCTCATCCTGCCTGGTTTTTGTTTGCTTGAATCAAAAGCCATAGTTATTTCGTTGTCTCTGCACCTGCCTGCTTAAGTGTGACAGTAGAGGTGCATCAACTATTCCTTTGTCTTGTTGTGTTGTGGCCTGTAATAATCAGTAAATGTAAAGAAGGTCATGATGGCTCACGAAGAGAAATGGGTGTGAATGATGTTAGGTGGAGGTTGAGGCCCTTGTGATCCAAGGGCCCAAGCTCGGCACCGTGCTCAGCCAAGTGAAGAAGCTGGAGACCTCCGTGCTGGTGCTCAGCCAGTGCAAGCCATCTCCCTACTGCTGGCTAAGCTGGTAAGGCACTCAGCACCATACCCCTTTCTATCTTATCCATCCTGCATATGTCTTGGAAATGTGAAGCTCTCAGAGGTCAACTATGGACAGTAAAACTGTGGTAAAAGAATCTCTCATGATGCCCATCCGTAGTGTTTCGTTTAAAAATGGAAAACGAAGCTTAGACTTCAGAACTACTCCAGTAATTTATATATCTATACATGCCAGCAGAATATTCGACTGTTATCAGGTTTAGCTTATCCTCTCAGGTAAATAATCCTAAAAACAGTAGGTCAAGGTTCTGGAGTGAGCTGATTGGCACTTGGTTATTTGGTTTGCGTCTCAATGTATACTCTCTGCAAGATACTACTATTAAAAAGAAGATAAAAAAATGTAATTATGAGAGGCCCTACTCACAAGTGGTGGCCAAACTATTTGTAAAGAATCGTTGCTCACCACCGTTCAATACTAGGGTCCATGCCTTTGGGTGAAAACAACGCTTTGGGATGCAGCGGCCATGTGCAATCCATAAATCGCAGATACCATGCTTGTCCTTCTAGATACACCTCTCCTAAATAAAGCAAGAACCATACACACAGCTACCATCGAGATACACTTTTGCTGCTACTCCTATGTCACACAGTCACATCACATGTGGAGGGGCATCTTAACCTCAGTAGGTTGGATTAGGCAAATGAACTCTTCACCTCAGTGATAACCAGCTGTTGTTTGAGCAAATTCCAATGCTGTAATTCCTTTTTGTTTCAGCTTCCTACGGAGCAGCAGCGAGGAGTTTGTGGAGCAGTGCATCAACCAGGCGGAGTGCCTGACGCTGGCGGTGAGGAAGAAGAGCAAGGGCGTGGGTGGGTACCTCGTCAGCACCCGGTGGCAGAAGAACTTCTGGCTCCTGGCCTGACAACCATTTTACCTACTAGTTGCTGCTGCTACTGCTACATGATCATATTTTACTCCCGTATATCTGCAGTCATTTCGTGTAACCAAGTGCGTCTCAAGAAAAAACCATCTCTCTCCCTCTGCCATGCCGTGTATGCGTCCGTGGATCGTCCTGCCTCCTGTTGTAAAGCCAAAAGAGCCCCCAAATCTGACCACCCTCCTACAAACCTGTATCTTCCCTGCGAGTCTTCATCGTGCGTGTAATCTGTACTGGACAATCATGTAATGCTGCATAAATGACCAATTCTGTTGTACGGTGTTTCTTGTTTGCTGGAATTGACTTGGGGAGGTTGAGGCTGGCTGGCTCTTTGTTTGCCGATTACGCTACCGGACGAGCCTGATTGCGTAACCACGAGAGAACAGCGCAAAATCAGGATGAAAACATCGGCAAGACCAAGGCGACGTTTCCAATGCAGTAGCTCGAAATTGGACATGCGACTCGCCCTCAAGCTTGGTTGCGAGAAGGGAAGTTCAGTGGCTTTGGGTATTTCATACTACGCACAGTATTATAAATTGGTCCCGTTCCGCCTGCTACTATCCTCTGAAGCACAAGTTAGGGGTATTTGGTTCGAGCCTGCTACTATCCTCTGAAGCACAAGTCAGGGGTATTTGGTTCGAGCTACTAAACTTTAATAGCTACTAAACGATTTAGTCACTTTTAGTAGCTTTTAGTTATAATGTTTGATTAAAAACTACTAAATTTAAAAACTACTAAATTAACGGCACTGCGGCACCGCTTCATGGTCGCGGCTTTGGGAGGCAACGGGGCAAAGAATTAAAACGATTATTATTACCGATGGCAGGTGACGACGCAGATGGCAGTGCTGCGACATCATGGATCATCCACCAGGATCCAGATACAGAACCCCAGTTCTGCCGAATTTGCACACACAAAAATAAAAAAAACAACACTACCAATGTATGCCGTGTTCGCTTGTCTTATAAGCCGTATATTTTTAGCGAACGAACAGTATTTTTTCTCACAACAAATCAACCAACCGTACTTTTACCCACGGCTTATCAGCCCAAAGTCCCAACTCCAAGTCCTGCCACTGATGATGCTACTATTGCCGAGTACGACGACGTGTTCCCAGATATGTTACCTTGGGCAGGCCTCTATCTAACAACAAAAATAATGTTTCAGATTTGCTTGGTTATTATACTTAAATGGCCACAGAGCTTCAGCACCGAAGCTCTAAAGCGGGCATATGTTGCTAATAAGAATCTGGCATTTCATACGGGTATTAAACCCCAACCACCACCCTTGATACAGTTGTCACACCAAATACTACCACAGGTCTGTCTCTGCCCAGTAAATATTAGCAAACAACGAGTATTTATCAAGGCGGTCCTCGCGGCTACGGGCACGCTGAATTATGAACAGACAGCTGCACGCGCTAGACCGGGACCATCACTGTTTCCTACACACATGTCATATAGCCTGCAGCATCAGCACCATCACTCAGATATTATGGTGGCCTTACAAGAGCCAGAAGAAGACCCCTACTACTAAGTACACCCAGCTCAGCCCAGTCAAGGCCCCCATCATAATCCAACAAGGGCCATGCTCATGAATGGCTCAGCAGCCTAATAATTGTTGCAGACAACTGCAGAGGCAAGCTGGAACGGAAGTCAGCGTGGGGCACAAAGATGGGCAAAAATCAGCGTCAGATTCAAGTTTTAACTGAGCAGAGATTCAGGAAGTACTGTAACCTGACGAGGCTGAAGCCCCAAAATGTTCTAAGTAAATCCTGGGGTTGTCCTGGTCATTCCGTTACTCTAATCTGCGTGCTATCCATAGCACTGAAAACAAAACAAAATGGGTGTTCTGTTTTTCTTTCTGAAAGTTACTATACTGAACGAAGCTAAGAGCGCTTGCGTCTCTTTGCGCTCTCATCTACAAAGGACTCCCATTTACCGTGGTCCAGCTTGCTGAGATCTTCTAGGTCTCCGATCGAAAGCAGGTAGTGTGTAAGCTTCACCAGCTCGTGATCATCATGCCTGTTCGAGTGCGCTTTCCTAAATGGCTTGATCACGAGACCGTTCTGTGGATTCATGACGAAATTCCTTCTTAGATCATCAAACATGATGGTGTTCTTTTCGTTGTAGTACTGCATATGGAGAAGATACAGCAAGTGAGCAAAGAATTGGATGAGAACCCAACACGGTTTCACATTAAATTGGTAATACAAGAAGCACGGAAATAGAATACTAACCTCAGGGAATTGAGCCCAAATGACACCAAGAGGCTTGCAGTCAAAAGTTTTCTTTCTACTTTGATTTTCGGATTGCACAGTTATCATAGCCAAATGATCCATAAGAGCAGTAATTTTGTAGTCAGGGTTGCTAAGAACTCCAAGTTGTTCCATTTTCAACTCCACCCATTTCATACTGCATCCAAGGGTCAAAGGTATTATTAGTATTATTACTACTTTGCCTTAGCAGTTTCAAATCAAAATCATAACCAATTAGCTGATAGACGAGGGTGCCAAAAAGCTTACCTAGTTGCTGACCATATCATGATGTCATATTTTGAATATGCAGCTGTGAGGAACTGGTGAAGATCTGTAAAGACAATTATGGCACACAATTTAAATGACAGCACACTAGAGGAACGTAGCAGATTAACAGTGGTGCCGAAACGTCCCCTTACATGGGCGCATGAGTTCCATAGGATTCTCAGCTGTTGACTTATGGTCAAACAGAGTATAATCAATGTCAAGGACAAGCAGCTTCTTTCCTTTGCGGCATGGATTCAAGAGCTTGATCTATAAGAATATACACCAAAAAGCATATCAATCACTGCCTAACTTTAACATTGTAGTAACGAGTAAGAGCTCAACAAGCAACAGCATTAACACAAAAGCAGCATCACACACTCCTACCCGTTCCTTCATGTTGTTGTCAACACCAGTATTAAAAGTATGTAGAGAAAACAAGAGACACTTACTTATGGTTAAGTAATCATTGCTCAGATAACATAGTGAATATAGACTTTAAAATAGGTAAAAAAATGTAAACCATATGGCATTAACTTGAGAAATAATAAAATGTACCTTATATTGACTTGCACGCCGCTTTAATTTTTGCTTGTAGACATCTTTATCCTTAATGGCTGTAGCTTCATTCTGCTCAAAGTCAAAATCATCAAGTAACTCTGGATCATCTTCTTGGCCGACAAATATTTCTTCTTCAATAGTACTGAAATTTAGAAGAGGCAACTTTAAATACATACAAATTACTATGAGGAAACAATGACAACCTTCAAAATATAGGGAGGAAACCAGATAGTCTAAAATTTGATATTTCAAACATAAGCACATTGTAAAGGAATGATTAAAAAACTTTACATGCTCATTATAAAACCCTGCTGGATGTTGAGTAAAGATAAGACAACTAGACAACTGGTCCACTGCGCACAACAAATTCTTCACTATGACAGGATGACCACTTAACTGCTTATTATGGTTCAGAGAGATACTCCTTAGGCATCACATAGGATTCACTAAAAGCCATAGGAATATCTGACAATCAGATATTTTAAAACTTAAAAAGGATCTCAAAATCGAATTTGGGAGTGGTATTCAAGTGAAAATTATGCATTATCTTACCAAATCTTCCTAAAACCTAGCTGCTACACATATGAAGGTTTTCATCCAATAGTAATGCACACTTAAGTGCGCAAATATCTCACTGCCATGAACTCAAGATGCATCTTTATCCTCAAACTGTCTCATCCCACCCACTGTACACTAAGAGTCTAAGATAGCCACAAACTCATGGTCCACCTATGTCAAAGAAAAATCAAAAACAAATTGACCGCAAGACAGTCCAAACAGAAAACAAAAGCTTCATAGGATGGCTGTACGGATTAAGCATAAGGTGCAGAGCACAGATGCATCTTAACAAAATTCAACGGGGAATGGTCTAAATTTGGGAGATTTGGGAATCTGTAGACTATAGGGTCTGACCAAAATAAAATTTGTTTGTTTGAGTAAGTCCCAAATTATTTTTGAGATTAGGATGTCCAACGCCATCTATCAAATTTTAAACATATTAGATTTCTCTGAAATAATAAATCAGATCATATTATATATGTAACATGTCAACTGAAGACAGACATTACCAATAGGCCTCAAATAACCACCGATATGGTACGTAAACTAAAATCCAGAAAGTTCAAACTAATATTTGTAGGATTTGGAGAATTGTCCATCATCACAGTAGTAACATCAAATACAACACAAATGGTTTGATCATTGGTGCAGTCAAGCTAATCCAAATCAAAATGAACTGCTCGTCAGTCATCACCTTACAGCAAAATGTCAATATGTAATCAAACTGCAATTGTTTATGATTCGAGCAGGTAGTAACATCTGTCACAGCTAAAACATCTTATTCCCATCTCTATAAAGACCAAACTGAACCTAGCACATGCTTCTGCCATCATCGCCTATCCACTCGAACAACCCACGAAAAGGTTCCCAAATCACAAACACAAAAAATGGAAGTAGTGGACTGGAGGTTTCCATAACCCCAGAAAATTCCACTCCACTATCTCAATTCACAGACCTAACCAAGCACCACGATTAGATAACGAACACCAGTACACCACCACGACGAAGACAGATCAATCAAAGGAGTCCAAACAAGCTAGGGTTTAGCGATCGGGTATTCTAGCCCCAGACCTCACCACTCCCGTCTCAAAATAAGAGCACTTCCCCACGATCCCCACCAGGTGTACCTCTCCGAACTCCGATCCATTCGGCAACCGGTACCCAGCGGCCCGGCAGATATTCACAGACCAACCCTCCAATTCCACACCAACCACGCTTTGAACCCAAATCACGCAAGCGAGGAGATGGAAGGGGTTTGAGGAGGAGCAAGGGACGGGGAATCGCATCGCTTACCCGATCATGCTGATCTTCCCGTTGGGCTTGAATGGGATGGAGGAGAGGAGGGTGGAGTCGTCGATGTCCTTGAGTATGAGCTTGGGGTAGAGCAGCGTCTGACGCTTGGGGAGCACCCCGGTGACCTCGCAGATGCGCAGTTTGAGCTCACCCAGCGTATCGTCCCCCACCATCCGCACCGTCTGCTCCTGCCCGCGCCACTTCACCACCAGCGTCATCTCCTCCGGCGGCGCCGCCTCCGCCACCGAGGCGAGAGAGGCCTCGTCTACCGCCGAGGGTCCCACTGCTGATGAGGACGAGGCCGTGTCCGCCATGGGCTTTGGCTGCGAGTGCGAATAGAAGAGGAACGAAGGGTTTCGATTCGTCCCCCGACCCGTGCCGGGAGAGGAAGGAAATGGGGAAGGAGAACTATGACCGACCGACTCCGTGTAGTTTGTTTCCGTGCAGAGGGTGCCCGAACCCGAATGGATAGCCAGGACCAGACCAATAAAAAAAAAAAAAAAAACTGTAGATGTGTTTAGATCTTGTAGCCAATAGAACTATCTTCTTTTCTCATACGTAGAGGGTGCTTGTTTCTTCGGTGGCTCCTCTGATTCATGTCATATTGAATATTTAGATATTAATAAAGAATATTAAATATATATTAATTACAAAACAAATTATATAGATAAAGGTTAATTTTCGAGACGAATTTTTTAAAACTAAGTAATCTATCATTAGCACATATTTACTATAACACCACATTATCAAATCTTAAACTAATTAGACTTAAAAAATTTGTCTCGCAAATTAGTAATAAGTTATACAATTAATTTTATAATTAATCTATATTTAATACTATATATATATATATATATATAATATTCGATATGTCAGATATTTTAGAAGACAGTGCAGTGACCCAGCAGGCCCTTACATCCACCCACCCACACTTCTAGCTGGCTTCTCGAGTACCTACACATCTGGCAATTGGCATCTATCCCCTTTAACTCCTCTCTCTCTCTCTCTCTTCTCATGCACCTGCGCACATGCTCGAGGACGGTGCCAGGCAGTCGAGACGAACACGGTGGTGCTGGTGGTTTCCGAGGAAGCTTCTGGCACCGGCAGCTGGGCACCTCTTGGCACTGTGATTTTTTTTTTAAATAAAAGGGCAAATGTTACACGGACCCTCTGCTTTCGGTTGCCAGCTGCGTCCTAGGTTTCTTGTGCTTCATTTTTCATCAGCCCCATAATTCTACCTGATATCGTCCTTAACAGTAGTAGTGGTCGCATTTTGCAAAAGCTTAACTTTTAGTGGTTATTTTTAGCGGAGCTCGATGGGAATTCCAGAGGGGGCAATGGTATCAAAGTTTTTATTTATGTGCAAATCTCCGTTACATTGAAGTACAGCCTGTTCGCCTGGACTTATACGATCGTATATGATCGTGGATTATAAGCTGAACAGTATTTTTCTCACACACCAAACCAGCCAAACCAGTCAACAGTAAATAATCAACGATCGTTTACGACGAAACGAACAGGCTGTAAATCTTTAATTGCTAGGGAGGGCCGTGACCCACACTCACACGTTGCTCCGTCGCTGGTTACTTTAGACGCACGCTGTTATGTTGAGATCTTATTTGATGCGCATGTATTTATTTCAATTCACATATATTAAAGTAGATTGAAGTAGAATTAAACTAAATTTCGTTCCATTCCATTCTAACACACGTGGATTAGGGTGATACACGTGCATCAAACAATCCCTTAGTGGGATCTTTACCGAAACGCACCAACAAGTTTCAGAAAACCTCGGTAACCCAGATACAAAACTGAGAAGACGGATACAAAATAAAAAAGGACGAGAAATATGCCAAACTGATTGATTAACACTGGCGCCAACATAAAAAAAAAAGAAAAAGAAAAAAAGGCGCATGTATGCGAGCCTTGCAACCTACCGCCTCCTATGCGATTCACAACCTACCTCGGCGCACAGCGTACACGGCCGGTGAGAGGTCCGGTAGTATATACGCAACACCGGTACACGTACGCGATGAGAGAACGAAGAGCCTAGCTAGCTACCTGCGGCGTGCAGATCAACAGCTGCAGCAGTACGTAGCATACGGTAGCAGTAACGACAAGACGGGCAGAGATGACCGGCGTCGGCGTCGTGACGGTGATCATGGTTGTGGTCGCCGCGTCAGCGGCGCTGGCTGCGGCGGCGGCGGCGGGAAGAGGAGCGAGGGCGGCCGCTGAGGACGAAAGAGGCAACACGCCGGCGGGCCGCAGAGAGGTCACGTACGACGGCAGGGCGCTGATCCTGGACGGCGTCAGGAGGATGCTCTTCTCCGGCGAGATGCACTACCCTCGCAGCACGCCTGAGGTACGTACGCCGTTGGATGTTGCCTATTGGACGCATTGTGCTCATGCAGTCATGCACACGTCGTGTACGTCGTGTGTTCACCGCTTCGATTTGCGGTTCTTTCATCTCCTCTCAGGCGGCTTTAGGTTTGATCGTCATGAAGCTCATCGATCGTGTCGCATCCAAATTTTGCTTTCTCCGAAGTCTGAACTCGTCGTGATCCTCAATATCTTCAGCTTAACCAGTTACTGCACCATACAAATTCTAGCCACTTGCACTCTTGCAACCGACCGGACACTCGGTGCTCTTTACTGCTGCTTTTTTTAAAAGAAGAAGAAGAAGAAGAAGAATTGTTCTTTACTGCTTGGTGAAACCGTAAGATGTGAGGTCACAGGACATGCATGCGCACCGTTCGTCGAGTAAATCTCGGTCACTAGTGCTCGCATTGCTGCCTTTGCCTGGTCGGCGCAAGAGAGGTTTTTTATTTTTTTTTATAGGGCGCAGCCCTGTTCGCTTGAGTTTATTCATCCCTACTTTTTTCAGCTATAGAACAATATTTTTCTCTCACATCATTTCAATATAAGCATCAACATAAGCTAAATTCAGCATAAGACGCTGACAAGCAGTGAGACAGGTAGGAGGGACCAACTGAAGCTGAAAACCATAGGCCAATGCAAATTAGCCATTCAGCACTTCACTTGTACCTTTAAAATATAGGATTTGCTTTTGCTTTAACAGCATGGAAGATTGCGTCTCCAAAATAAAGTATTGTAGTGTTCTGTCGATAGAACTCTGAACCACTGCATACAAGAAAAGAGAAGAAAATAAAAAGACCAGATCATAATGTAATATGAACGGCAGACACGTAAATATTTGGTGAAACAATTGTCATTTCACATGCAAGGTGAACTAGCAATACGAAATGCCGAATCATTTTAAGCATTAGGAGCGAAAAACAGAGATGGTGAGTATTCGAACAGTCAAGCACAGCAGTATTACAGCACTGTATACATTTCAAAAAAAAAGTACAATGTTATATTGCATTCATATATCAGCAATCATATGAAGCATAAAACTTCATTCCTTATACAGATGTGGCCGGACATCATAGCAAAAGCCAAGAAAGGTGGCCTGGATGTCATTCAAACATACGTCTTCTGGAACGCACACGAGCCTGTTCAGGGGCAGGTAGGTGATATATACAATCTTCATATGTCAATCTTACATGTTACAGTCTGCCAAAATAAAATTGAGAACTTAATATAGGAGCCTTTTGTTTTTGTAACAATGGACTCTTCAAATTCTCTTTTGCTGGATCAGTTTAACTTTGAGGGAAGATACGATCTGGTGAAATTCATCAGAGAAATCCATGCTCAAGGTCTCTATGTAAGCCTCAGAATAGGCCCCTTCATCGAGTCGGAGCGGAAATACGGGTATGAAAGCATGAAATGCAAGATTAGCATTCCATTATCCCCAGACATAGTTATATTTTGCTGAATTCTTAGTACTTCAAAACATACAAAGGACAAAGAAACAAGGAAAAAAACAAAGTTCCTAATTGAATTTCTTCTGTTCATGCAGAGGCTTACCCTTTTGGTTACGTGGCATCCCTAACATTACATTCAGATCTGACAATGAACCCTTCAAGGTATCCTGTTTCAAATTGCATACCTGAGATAGGAAGACCATCCCTTGTTTCCTTCATGCCTTCTTTTTTTTCTCCGTTGACTCTTATGTAGTACAGAACAACTGCACTACATATAACCAAAAATGTTTCAATATAATTTTTAAGCAAGCAACAAAAAGATACCCAATTTATGATCAACTACAAATGTCAATGTGTCATACATGGTGCGAGAAGAGCATGTTTTCACCTAGGCTGAAAACTCTTGTTAAAATAAAAAAAATGAAAAAGGCAAGGATAGATAAAGAGAGAAAAACTCATCGATGACCAAAATAGTGAAGGATAGAGTTAATTTCATTTTTACACTGTTGTTTTGTCATGGTACATTATTCATATATAACATGCAGAGGCATATGCAAAAGTTCGTTACCAAAATAGTGAACCTGATGAAGGATGAAAGACTATTCTACCCACAAGGAGGCCCCATAATCATATCACAGGTCAGTTAAAGGAACTAAAGAACGCTTGTCCTTTGAACTCTATATATAAGGTGAATGTTGTTTAAAATTTCAATTAACATTGCAGATTGAAAATGAATATAAGCTAGTTGAGGCTGCATTTCATTCAAAAGGGCCACCTTATCTTCACTGGGCAGCGGCAATGGTAGTAAATCTGCAGATAGGTGTTCCATGGATGATGTGTAAGCAGGATGATGCCCCATATCCAATTGTCAGTGACTCATTGGCCATATTTATACCATTATAGTGACTTATAAATTGAGATGTGATTTTTGAAAATCAGTGCAATGTTGATGATATGGTTTAGATTAATACATGCAATGGGCTCATCTGTGGGGAAACATTTCCAGGGCCAAATTCGCCAAACAAACTAGCTTTATGGACAGAAAATTGGACCTCTCGGTGCAGCAATAACTCATGCTTTTCTTCTAATATTTCTACCATATACTTTATTTGGTAAAACACCTAACACAATATTTCCCCTGAATACAGCTATCCTTTATATGGTCAAGATCAAAGATATAGATCAGCAGCAGACCTTGCCTTTGCAGTAGCACTGTTTATAGCGAGAAAGAAAGGGAGCTTTGTAAACTACTACATGGTAGAACAAATGAAGCTATAGACCTGACAAAACTATTTTCAAAAGAATCTCTTACTACTTCTGTTACTCCTCTCACATGAGTTAAGATTTATGTAGTACCACGGTGGAACAAACTTTGGAAGGGTTGCATCTTCCTATGTAACAACAAGCTATTATGATGGAGCCCCTCTTGATGAATATGGTAAGTTGGTAACTTCATTTAACTTGGCCAACATTGTTGACAACCAGTAACGGCACATTTGTTGTATGAAATATCCTAAAAACATGGGCGCACAGATCAAGAAGGGCCACTGTATAAGATCACACAAAGGCCAATATACTAGATCATAAAGCATATCTAGTCAGCAATTGATGTTCGATGACAACTGTAGCTATCTTCATACTATAACATTGAGAATCCTTCCACCACAGAAGCCTTTCTAGTACTGTCCTATGGTAGCTTTGGTGCAGAACCTCTACATGCAACAGGCAGAAGTTCTGAATTTGCAGCATTGCTGATCTATAGTACTCGTCATTTTCTCCAGACACTGTACAATTAATACATCTTGTGGCAGTTGGAACTTGGAAGAATAGAGAGTTTCCTACAAAATTGTATTCAATAGAAATAATAGTATGTTGTATTTAAGTACTTAGTAATTACATTTCTCTCCTTAGAACATCAACATTTAGATAATATCCACTGAAAGCAACAAACATACATCCAGGATTAATATGGCAACCGACATGGGCTCATATCAGAGAACTGCACGCTGCAGCAGTCTGCAGAGACATTACTTTGGGGAGCATATTCTAATCACTCATTTGGTCAACAACAAGACGTGAAATTAAAGTAACATTGGCTTTTATATTTCCAATAAATTACTATATTTTCATCAATCTAACTGAGAAATTTTTGGTGTATTGCAGGGGCATGTTTTTGCAACAGATTCTGGGTGTGTGGCTTTCCTGGTAAACTTTGACAAGCATAAGGTATCAACCATTCAATTTGGTGAAGAGGTGTTCCAGCTAGCTCCTAAGTCAATTAGTATCCTCTCACAGCGCAAGAAACTAATTTTTTAAATAGGCAAGGTGTGCATGTTACATTCATGAAACTCAAAATGCTCACTTACTAAACACCTTAGATGCTTCTTGAAAATTTTATGGCAGATAAATGCTCAGCATGGTTTAAGATCAGAACAAGTAGTGCAGCCTCTCAATCATGCTGATAGGTGGAAAATATTCAAAGAACCAATTCCTGCAGTACCAAGTAAAATCTCACATGTCGAAAACCAGCTATGCGAACACCTCTCAACTACAAAAGATGAAACAGATTATCTCTGGTACCTTATCATGTAAGATTAGCTTATTTCCCTAGTTTATACCATTTGGCATTTACTCCAGTTTCTAGCACTTTCTTGAGCCCTGGTAACCAAATAATAATGAAATTATGCAAGTACAACTATAGACGAAATGGGAATGGCGACTTAGTGCTTAATGTTGAGTCACATGCACATATTTTACATGCTTTCATTAACAATGATTATGTTGGTAAGGACATAAATTGCACTCATGTTTGCAAGTATATGGAATTATGGAGTACACAACAAAAGTAGAAATAGGAATGTTATCCAGTCTAGGCTAAGTTATTAATGAATAATTAAAACTTCTTAATTGTATTTATGTCTGATATATTTTCCATATTGTATTAGGAAGTGTGCACGGGAGTCATGATAAACCTGGCTACATTGTTCTTAATGCATCTATTTCACTAAGGGAAGGACAAAACTCCATATCACTGTTATGCATCATGGTTGGTTCACCGGTACAATGACAACTTATTCTATATGGCATATGGTCACAAACAACAAAAGCTAACATTGTCGTTTGTTTGTGTTGCTTGAAATGAAATAAATAAATGACTAGAGTCATACCTTATGTTATCATATCCACAAGCTGGTAATACCATTCAGATCAAGTTTATATGAACAAAGTTGAAAAGCAACATAAAAGGGGACAAGTTAGGTTGAGAACAAATGGAATAGTTAGCCAAACAAAGAAAGCAGTTTGCCAAAAATCCGGCATACTTTCTGAATTGATACCTAATAGCTCAAAATGAAAAATGGAAAATGGAAAAAAAGGAAAAAAGAAAGACCAAGGCTCCACATAAGTATTTAAAAGAGTGAAATGCACCGTGGGTACCTAAACTTTTCCCGTATTCTCATCTGGGTTCATGAATTCTCAAAGTAATCATATGGGTCCCTTTGAAGTGGTTCATTCGAAGTGTGAATCTAAGTCCATGATTAGACCTAGAGTGAATTTAGAATGAACCGCTTGAAAAATGAAGGACCGAGATGATCACTTTGAGAATTCATGGACCTCGATGAGAATACAGGAAAATGGTGCATTTCACTCTATTTAAAATGTGTGAAAAATTTATGAATGCACAGTACCTAGAATTTGCATTAACATGGGGTTTCATACACCTACTACAAGGACTCCGGTGCATATATGGAGAGAAGAACCTTTGGAGTGCGAAAAGTGAGCATAAAACGAAGACAGCGAGAGACCACATTCCACAAACATTGAGCTGTGGAAACACCAAGTAAATCAATCCAAGCCAACATTAATTCTAAATTAATGGATCATCATCACATGCTCATTTTCAAGTGTGCAATGTATAGGTTGGCTTATATGGAGAAACAAATAAAATTTACACATCTGAAGGATCATCTCATGCAGAATGGACTGCAGTTGACAAGTCCATACATTTGCCACTTATCTGGTATAAGGTATGCAAGACATACATTGGTCCTGATATACTTGACTTGCATATTTACTCTTAGTGTTTGGATTAACAGCCTCGGAGAATTATTGTTGTTTAATAGACAACATTTGACACAACATGGGGAAATGACCCTGTGACATTGAACCTAACTAGTATGGGAAAGGGTGAAGTATGGATTAATGGGGACAGAGCATTGGACGGTACTGGGTCTCCTTCAAAACCCCTAGTGGGCAACCTTCTCAATCCATGTCAGTACTCAAACTAGTTCTAGTGTAAAGTATTTTTTTGTACAATCATGACTGGCCAATGTAAAATGTCTTGTTTGGCTCTCTTTTCTAAGGTACCATATACCTCGATATTTTCTAAAGACTAGAGAGAACCTCCTTGTCCTTATGGAGGAAATTGGTGGCGATCCACTACAGATAACAGTAAACAAAATGTCCATTACCAGAATCTATGGTACCGTCACGAGTTCTCTACCCCATCCCTCTTGTCACGCAAAAATCATCTAGCTGTTCACCTCCGGTGCCAGAAAGGCAAACACATAACAGATATCAAATTTGCAAGCTATGGAAATCCCATCCAAGACTGCAGGGAGTCTGGATGGAGCTGCCAAGGAAGTTGCCACGCAGAAATGTCTGAATTTGTTGTGAAGAATGTAAAATTCTGCCACCCCGGTGCTACATTTGCATCAACGCGGTATAGTATTGCCAAGATGCTACAACAAAGCACAAATTCCTAACAACTGAATTACTATCTTTGTTCTTTCAAGCTTGCCTAGGCAGAAGGAAGTGCGTCCTTCCGGTACGGGCAAACAAGTTTGGAGGTGACCCATGCCCCGGAATCGTAAAATCCCTTTCTGTTGCGGCGATCTGTGGATGAAGAGAAGATGAACCACTTCAATCAAGTTGTGCATAATCAACACT